TGAGAATTTTATTTGATGGGCATTCCCTTTTAACTCTCAGAAGATTTATGGAACCTTAGATATTTTGCTTTCTTCTAGTATACAAAAGGTAGTTAGTTTAGTACACTGAGTGGGTAGGGTAGGATAATGGGTGGATAAGGCATCTTAGTATGCTACCCAATCTTTGGGAATAAATCTTGTATGAGTAGGGTAAGATACTACCCACCATAGTATAACTAGTATTCACTCCATAAGAGAGTTAAACAAGCACTATCCTATTGGTATTACTTTAAAAAGACTAAACAGACTATTATATTTTTCATTCACAACTATCCTTTTGACAAAACTACCACAATCGTCGCATTTGCCGCCAGCCATTGCCACCGCTGTAGCTTTCACCGTCGTTGTCATTGCCACCTCTTTCAATGCTGTTGTTGCCACCCCTGCCACCTTCCATCACTCTCGCCACTGCTGTCGTACTTGATCACTACCACTGTCAATATCACCTTTACCACCATCACCTTAGTCGAAATCACTGCAACAGTTATCACTATCATGACCACCATCACCCACCGCCATTCCAATGTCATTGCTGTTGGAATTAGCTTGACAGCCAGATGCACTGTCCTTCACAACCACTTTCGCTGCTGCCATTGTTGCCGACCACCACTAATGCTTCTGTCATCACCACCACTGCCACTCTCGCTGTTCACCACTATTACCTAATCTCAACTGCCGCCAACTGACTTGCTGCTGTTGCCACCATTACCCACCCATACTACTGCCATCCTTAATGCCTTCACCATTATCACCATCGTCACTGCACTGCTACCACCGTTATCACCGCTGACATTACCACCAATTATTAGCATAAATTAAGAAAATGACAATATGGTTTTTGTCTAAACTAATTTGCTTATCCAATCATCTGAAACATATGATAGGATAAAAATCTTACCAATGGGTAGCATATTGTACCTTACCCACTTTCTTTATCCTACCCAACCCACCTACCCGTGTACCAAATGTAGTCTAAGACTCTTTTAAAATTTGGAGGGAATCCCATTGTGATCTGTTTATAAGATTATTGCTTTTTGTCAGAAAAAAAAATCTTGACAAATTTGTAAATTCTGTGCTGCTGTGAATATCTTTTGTACTTTAGTGGCACGTACCTTTTGCCCTTTAATTATATTTATCTTTTCCTTCTTGAGAAAATAAAAGTGGAGAGAAGTGGGAATCAAATTAATAGTGACCTAAGAGGAAAATAAATTTCTTATCAAGAAAATGATTTGTGTGAAAAAGAAATTCTTGTCTTAGACTGCTTATCACATGCAAAAATGGAGAAAACTGTAAGATTTTGATGTGCAAGCATCTAGTTTTTGTGATCCCAATCAATTCTCATTACATTTTTTTGTCTTTATAGCCCCAAGAAAAGAAGAGTGAAGACAAGCCACCTAAGGAGGAGGACAAGTGATGGTCCCATGCAGTTTGCTTCTGGGTCAGGTTTCAGTTTCTGAATTTCATTCAGCTTGTGAGGGCTGAAAAATTTCTTGCTTTTCTGACTTGCTAATTTTCTTATGGTTTTTGAGATCTTCTGTCTTGTGAAAAACTCAAATCGAATTCATCTTGCAGGTCGCAGAGCTCGGAAATCAGGGCCATTCTTGGATCCTGGACTGATGCTATTATTTGTTTCAGATGGGCTGAGGACGAGCTACATTGAAATGTATGTTTGTAATGTCTTGATATTTCTATACCTTTTTTTTTTTTCTTTTTTCTTTTTGAATTTGAGTATGTCTTGAGTTACATTTGTTCATCAGGGAGATAAAACTTTTGTGGAGATCTAATGTTCCACAAATACATGCTAGCTAGTACATTTTTCTCTTCACCTCCAAAAAGAACTAGGCTTCAGTAATTATAAAAAATTCTTTTGCGGGTGGACCAAATTGCTGGGTCATTTAACTCTTCTGTGATGGACTGATGGCTACGCAGAATCCAACTCTCTTTACCCGTTTTGGGATACGATGCCCCAAACTCTGCATCGTGTTAAAACACACACACATATATATATATCTTAACAAAGTTTGGGGAACTCCTGGGTCCGCAAACCCAGGGATGCAGGTTAATAAGTCACTTTTGTCTGTCTGTTGAAAGTTTACTTGATGGTATAAGTTTGATGAGTTGTTAATCTAATAACTTACAGGGTTTAAGGATTCGTTTAGTTCTGCCGGTTAGATAATAAATAATACTTAATACTTCTGTCTGTATTGGTTGTCGGCGGTATTTGTGTGTACGGATAAAATTCATAAATGCCGAGTAATTTAATTATCAACTGCTCTTTTGTCTTTAGGGAGTAGCTTGGAAAATGTGTTTTTCTTTTTAATTCACTCCTTAGGTTATGTTTGGAATAAAAACTTTATTTGGAAATCCAGATTTAATTTAAATGGAATTTTTACCTACGTGCTCGAAATTATGTAATCTTTGAGAAATTTAAATTACATTATATCAATTCTAGTTTAAAATTATTTGGGTTGGTTAATTTTTTATTTTTCTTTTAAAGAAATTTGTATATTTTCATAATTCAAATAAATGTTATTTTTGTAAATGAATTTTACAAACAATCTTCCGTTGTGATTTATGGTAAATATAAAATTTAATTGAATGGAAGGGAGAGAGAATTATATTTATTTATTTGAGTTGGTCTTTAAACCTAAGATACAGAAGTTGACATGCAAGTCAATGTGTCCTGTCTTCAGAAAATATATGTATATATATATATATAGAAAGAGAAATTGTGTTGTCAAAGTCAATTGCCTTGTTTGTGTTCCCCACGGATATAATTGGTTCGTCAATGAGGTCAGAATTATAAATACGGCAAAGTATATAAATTAACAGTGTTCAAATCTAGCGAAATTGACGAGATTATTATTATTATTATAAAAAGGGCGGCCAAGATGTCACGTCAAAAAAACCAAGGTCTGATTGGTACCAGAACAGGTTGAAAATGGCGTACCAATTAGCACGACAATAATGGAACGCTCAGTGCTATTTTTTTCAAGTGATTTCTTAAATAATAATAATAAAATTATATCGGCAGCTTTTAACAGGATTTCACGTGGATGGACTCAGATTGTCACTATGAATTTTTTTGATTTAAAAATAATTTAATTTAATTTAGTTATTATAACCACATTAACCCATTACTAAATTGAGTTATTGGTTTTACTGAATCTAAATATTCTAGTAATGGTATTTAAATAAATAATTTATTAGCCAATCAATAATTATTTTATTATAAAATAGTAATCATATTGAATAAGCAGTCTCAATAAAAATAATCATAAATATAAATGCAATTAGTAGATAAAATTTTTATATTTTCTTTAAATGTTGTGAATTTAAAGATAATAAAATATACTACTTTGAATTTGTATTATACAGAGACAGTGATAGACGGTATAATATTTAATCTGTTAAAATTGAGAATTTAATTTATTAATATATTTAAGAGAATGCACAAACTAAATTGGGTTAGGTTATAACATTTATTCCATACAAAGATATACATGCACCTAACACTGTGCATAAATTATTAAATAAAATCCCTTGTATGTGGTCCTCCACTCGAAGGGACCCACCCTACCCCTTCTTTAAAAAAAAAAAAAAATCATCTACTGTTTTTACCCTCTTTTTTCCACCAGCTTCAAACGTGAGCCGTCAGATTCACTTCACACGAAAGGTCAATAGCTTCTGCATTATACACTCGGCCATACTAGATTATTGACTCCGAGTAAGAAAAAACCATACTACATCCGCCTGTGATTCATTCTCATAACGATTTCCCTTTTTTTACAATCACAGATACGATCAATAGTTTCTGCACTTAAACCAGATTTTTTAAAAAGGAAATGGTTTGTCAACTATCACGGATACAGTGAATTTTTTCTACGAACACACAGAAAACAAGATATGATGAGTTTTCACAGCAACTCATTTTCTGTCACTTCGACTTTTCCTATAAAAGACCCACTTCGCCGGCCAACAATTGCTCAAAGTGAAAACCGAGGCTCTTTTGTCAGCTTTCGACGAACAGCAGGTGCCCATTTTTGTTTCTTTTCATTCGTCTTCTTCTGGTGCGGTACTATAAATTACTGGCGTGCAGTGGCTTTGGGATTTTGGGGAGGACTGAGACGGGGAAGATGGCTGCCTGTCGTCTATCCTATAATTCTCTGGTGTTTATGTTTGCTGTAATATTTCTCTGTTGTTTCAACGGGAGTGTCAATTGTCGATATATCAAGTACGACACCGGAGCTGGTATTGTGCCCGGGAAACTGAACGTTCATTTGGTGCCACACTCGCATGATGATGTTGGGTGGCTGAAGACTATTGATCAGTACTATGTTGGATCAAACAACAGCATTCAGGTTCTGAGTTTTTAGTATATGTAGATGAGTTTTTTGCCTTCTGGATACTTGGTACTGTGGGATTTTGTTCTTAGTGGCGGCTTAGTTTCTGATGTTTGCCTTGTGGGTGTTTGTTTTTGGTGTAGGGTGCATGTGTGGAGAATGTGCTGGACTCGGTTGTGGAGTCCTTGCTTCGTGATCCGAATAGGAAGTTTGTGTTTGCTGAAATGGTGAGCCAACTACGTGTTTGTTAGATGTTCAGAGCCTAATGGTGAATAAGTAAAATCCTATTGACTGTTACTTTTTGAAAAAATGTATACTGGTTCTGAACTCCGGATTATGACATGTGGGTTACAACTGTGCCTGGTTTTGAATATATAGATAAAATTTAGATTTATTTTCTTCCTGCATGGACTTATTAATTGGTTTTTCAGGTTTTCGTCTATCAAATTCAAGCTACTCCACACTTCTATATAACACCCAAGATAAAATTACTGTCTTATGAATCTGATGACTGAAAAGGAGAATTCAGAGAGTCATAAGTTTGATACAGGATATCGTGTAAAAAATGAAATAATTATGGTGAAGAATGCAGGTCTCCGTTACCAACATTGTTTTCTTCATAGTTTATATATCTCCATGTCTTGAAATGATGTTTTCCTTGATTCTTACATTTTTTTCTTTTAAGGATTTGGTTATGTGAGGAATTTGAGTTCCTTATGTGTTTCTCTTCCTCCACCTTGCCCGATTAAAAAAGGAAAAGAAAATTGATAAAGAAAAAATCTAGTTATCTTCATCTAACAGAGCTTAATATGCACAACAGGCTTTCTTTGAGCGGTGGTGGGTGACGCAAAGTGCAGAAACCCAAGAACAAGTGAGGAAACTAGTAGATGCTGGCCAACTGGAATTTGTGTATGCAACTTCTGAACAATTCATGTGCATTTCTCTCTTTGTGTATGCATGCGAGAAAAAACTGACTGTGGGGAAGCATGTGTGAAGAGAGGGGAGGAAGGGGAGATGGGTTAACAAGGGTTATTCTTCATCTTGTTTAGAGTTTGCATTTGTTGAGGATCCAGTTGTCTTAATTTGCAGAAATGGTGGTTGGTGTATGCACGATGAAGCAACATGCCATTACATAGATATGATTGACCAAACAACTTTAGGTCATCGCTTGCTAAAGGAGCACTTTAACAAGACTCCTCGTGCTGGATGGCAAATTGATCCATTTGGACATTCTGCTGTGCAAGCATACCTACTTGGGGCAGAGGTATATATTGATTCACTCAATATGTTGACAAACCATTTCCTTTTTAACAAGTATGATTTTTCTGATTACTGGCCTTGACAAACTCAAATACAACAAATGAATTGAAATGTTGATTTGGTGATAGAAATGTCCTGCATTTATATTTATAATAGATGCTGTTTGAATGAGTTCTGTATTGGAAATTTTGGCACTCTGGATAAATCACACATTTAAGTACTCGGTTGCTCCCCAGCTTGGATTCGATTCTGTTCATTTTGCAAGAATTGATTATCAAGACAGGGCAAAGCGCAAAGATGATAAATCTCTTGAAGTTGTATGGCAAGGGTCCAAAACTTTTGGTTCTTCATCTCAGGTTAATACTGTTACTCGTGTTCATTGTGGCCATCCTTGCTTAAAATATTCTACAGCATTTGCTAATCACTCATTGGGCCCCTTTGCAGATCTTTGCCAATGCCTTTCCTGTTCATTATAGTCCTCCAAAAGGCTTCCATTTTGAAGTGAATGATGATTTTGTGCCTGTTCAGGTTCTGATAATCAGGAAGCATTTCTCCACCATACCTTTCTCTTTAATAAAAGACTGACCTGATCTGCTACATGTTATGACTTCAGGATAATCTCCTAATATTTGACTACAATGTAAACCAGCGGGTTGATGATTTTGTTAGTGCTGCTTTAACCCAAGTAAAAATCGTTTCTTCTGTCTGTATGTCGATTTGTACTATTTAGCAAGCGATGCTGCCATATATGAATATTTATAATAATTGGGTCTTTTGACTTATTTTGTCACTGTGAACAGGCTAACGTGACACGTACAAACCATATTATGTGGACAATGGGTGATGATTTCCAGTACCAGTATGCTGAGTCTTGGTTCAAGCAAATGGACAAATTGATTCATTACGTCAACAAGGTATAGTTAGACAAAGCATAACAATTTATCTACTGGCATTTTAAGGTTGCATCATTCAAGTATACTTTAACATTTGATATTTCATTCTTGAGACTGGCAGTATTCAAATGCTAATTTGAATGTTTTGAGGTTCGAGTCATGATTGATGTTATATTGTTCTGTCACATGAAGAAGTTGTCTCGTAGGATGCCCTTGTGCTGAACATAGATACATGCACTCAGGAAAGTTCTGCTGCAATATTCTCTCGTACTTATTTGTTTTTTCTCACTAAACAAGCATCTACTAAGCAACTTTCCTTTTTCATGCTTGGTTTTATCCTGGTACTATAATACCAAGATTACTTATACCCCACCTACTCTACTTCTAAATAGTTCTAATAAATCAAAGCTTATGTTTGCTGGACTTGTGATGGATGTCAAACCTGTAAATATTCGATCTATAGATAGTTAAATGGCCATGAAGGTCTATAACATGATGAAGGAAAATGAGTTCTTTGTTTTATTTCCTTTTTTATTTCTTCTTCTTTTTTTTGGTGAAATTACTTGAAGCTCAAATGAAATTTACTTAGCTTTGGTGTCCATTGAGTTTTGTCAGGATGGCCGAGTGAATGCCTTGTATTCCACACCATCTCTCTACACAGATGCAAAAAACGCCGCAAAAGAGACCTGGCCTCTGAAAACTGATGATTTTTTTCCGTAAGGATTTTCATGTTTTTCTACTGTCTTCTTTTTTCAACAAAATGAGCTCAATGACACTATTGTTTCTGGCAGATATGCAGATAGTGCAAATGCTTATTGGACTGGGTTTTTTACTAGTCGACCAGCCTTGAAGAGATATGTCCGACTGCTTAGTGGATATTATCTGGTATGACATCAGGGTAAAGCTCAGGGTGACAATGAGATAATGAGACATTTTTGCTCAGGCTCTCTAGGGAATATATGCTCTGTACCCAGATATACTTGTCTTTGTTACTTTCTATTATCTTTGTGTATATACATATATTGGAAATTTCTATCTAGATATTGGTAATTAACTTATGGAAGCAAAATACTTAGATGCCAAGAATTTCCTGGGGTGAGTTAATTATCCAGTCAATCACTCTCAGAGATCTGCTATGTTTCATTGATAGGGAGCCCGACAACTTGAATTCCTGGTTGGGAAGAAATCTAGTGGTCCCACTACTTTTGCTCTGGGAGATGCTTTAGGTGTTGCCCAACATCATGATGGTATCACAGGAACTGCTAAACAGCATACAACAGATGACTATGCAAAACGCCTAGCTATTGGAGCCAAAGAAGTAAAGGCTAATCTTTCCCCTGAATTCACCTCCTGCCTTTTCCCATCTCCTCTGTTACTAACAGCTTTGTATAGGCTGAAGCTGTTGTCAATTCTGCGCTGTCATGCCTGACCAATAAAAGATCAGGACAGAAGTGTGTGGCATCTTCTTTGACATTTAGCCAGGTAGCACTTTAGTTTTGGAGTCTGTCCTCCAACCAGATGAAGATGTTTTTAGTTTTTCATGGTGTACAAAATGATGTTTTTCTCCTAGAGGCAGTATATAGTGTCTGAACTTTCTTTGATGTATTGTTTTGTATTCTGGATTTAAACTTCTAAAGGATTTGAAGAGTTCAGTGAATCTGTATTTCTGTTCAAAAGGGTCAATAAATTCCATAGAGTTACTCTCCTGGTCTAGCTGCTAACATCTACTCCCTTGTTTGTTCAAATTGGACAGTGCCAGCTACTCAATATCAGTTACTGTCCACCAACAGAGGAAAAGATTCTGGAAAAGAAGGGTTTGGTAATCTTCTCGCGTTCCTTCTGAATTCTGTTAGTAAGAAATAGCCGCTTAGAATTTTTGTTGACTTTTCCATTATCTTCAGGTTGTGGTGGCATATAATCCCACTGGCTGGATGCGCACAGATATCATCAGGATACCCGTAAGCATATTTGTGTTCTCTTATGTGGTCAGAGCAAGTGGGATAAAAACTCCTTTGTTGATAACCTAGTATGTGTGTGCATTGGTAGATGATGGTACAAATTTTTATGTTGCTCGTTTTGATGCTTTGTGGACTTGAAATTCTGTGAGCAAATTCATAAAGCAATGGTAGCTGAAGTTAGGATTTTGAGCTGGATAAATGGGAACGAAATACGATTAGGAATTGACATGTTTACGATAAGCTAGCGCTTTTCTCAGGTAATGTTCTGAATGTGGAGTATCTCCAGCAGGCATACTGATGCAATTTTGTCAATCCTTACGTCAAACACTGTGAGTCTGTCACGTTGCTTTTGATGCCAATCACAGCCAAAGCTAAATGATAACTTTTTTAGAAAACTTTTTTGAACCTGCTCAAAGGTTGAGTAGAACTCTGAACCTTCAAATATAGACGCCAGGACATAACCAAACCGATCAAAGCCACTTGCTTTTGTTCTACCTTCTATGCATTTTACAGGAGTCCAAATAAACTTGCATCTGGTGTTCATTGCCAAAAAAATTGTCAGGGATCTCCTACTATAGGAATTATAGGCTATTTTTGTTCTATCTAATGAATGTGAAGAAGGTACTTTTCTTTCCTTTTCCACGTAACTTTGGTCACTTGATAATTATAAAAGCTGGTTATCTGCATTAAAAAAAAAAACTGAACAATTACATAATTAAATGTCTACAGGCTTCATGTTGCATGCTTTATTATTTGGATATTTTCATGTTTGTTTTTGCAACCAAAAAAATCAATAATGAGTTTTAAGGCAATAGAGAAATTGCTTTTTCTTCTTTATCTTCAATCTAATTTTGAACTTGCCAAATATGTCAGGTTTATGATGCCAATCTTATCATTCAAGATTCCTCTGGACATATCATTGAGGCACAATATATCAGCTTGGATAATGTCACAAGAAACTTAAGGAAGTTCTATACAAAGGCTTATGTAGGATTGCCATCAACACCAGCCCCTAAGTACTGGCTTCTCTTTCAAGTTTCTGTGCCACCATTAGGTTGGAATACATACTTCGTCTCTAAAGCGGCTGGGATAGGTAGATCAGTTTTCTCTTAAAAGCTTTTCTCTCCTTACAGGGCCTGATTTCAGATTGTTATTTATACTTAACAAAATTTGATCGCATAATAAGTGGGAGTCCTTTGTTCTTATTTTTTTTTTATTTTTCGTTATAGATCTATACAGTAGATAAGATATATCAAACATATTAATAAATCCCTTCTATAATAAAATAAAGTTCACTGATGCTATTTAATCTTTTAAGGTTTTTCGAATAAAACAAAAAATTATCATCCTTTTAGGGTAACTTTTTGGTCAAGGAATTAAAAGATCCAATCAACATTGAGAATCATGTAGCATAACTCTTAAATGCTATCATATATAGTTTAAAACTAATTGTTCTAATGAATAAGCATGCTCATTACATGTTTCAGCCATTTCACATTCTTATAAGGCAGGCAGGCTTTTGCATATGACATCATATGTTCCAAATCAGTAATAACTTAATCCACAGTGTATTCCTTTTTCTCTGTTTTTATTGTGCCGGAAATGATACAGGGAGCAGCAGCAATGTCTTTTTCTCTAGAATGGAGAGCCCTCGAAATAAGGTTGTTGAAATTGGACCTGGGAATCTCAAGTTGTCTTTTTCTTCAGCCACTGGCCAGCTCAGAAGGATGTATAACTCCAAAACGGGGGTAATTCTTTTCACATGGTCTAGACGGTTGTCTCTGAACCATAATATATTTATTGATTCAGTTTTAGGATTCCAATATTAGTTTAGATTATGGCACTTTTATGGATATGTTTTAGAAAAAATATTGTAACAAGTGATCGTCACATTTTTCCAGGTAGATGTACCAATACAGCAGAGTTATCTCTGGTATGCCTCAAGTACTGGTGACTTTGATGATCCTCAGGTGGGAAAATACTTCTTTTTGCTGGCTTGTTGGAAAATATTTCTTAGCACATAGAAATACATGTTAAGTTGGGTGGATGCTTGCTTACTTGTCAGTAACTTAAACTTTTTTGTAGGCTTCTGGTGCGTACATTTTCCGACCCAATGGATCCCCTCCAACTATTGTCTCAAGATCAGTAAGCTCATCAATTACTAATCACATGTATGATTATGAATGTAAATGAAAAGAACAAACAAGTATAAAGTCTGAAAACCCCTTAGCATTAATTTATCTAGAGCCCTACTTGACAAATGCAAGTTTTTCTCAACTTCAATTTTAGTTAAATATTAGGCCTTTGTATTTAATTACATAGCTCTATAAATTTCCAGGTCCGTGGTAATTGCTTCTTATCTCTTGCTTATAGTCATACATTGTCTTTTTTCCCCTTAATTCCAGGTATCCTTGAAAGTTGTCCATGGACCTTTAGTTGACGAAGTGCACCAACAGTTTAACTCATGGATCTACCAGGTTATTTTTTTAATTTCAACTTGGGGTCCTGCTGAGTATAGTCTATGCTTTTGGTGTTTGGTGATTAACAAATATTCTTACATACATTAGAAACTGCTGCAGAATATGAATTTAGACTTGCTGATCTAAATATCAGAAGAAGATTCATTTCCTCATTCATAATGGAGAATGAGGAAATGAATTCCCAGAATTCAGAGAAGAATAATCATTCACTATCTTTTTTTTTTCTTCTTCTGTAGTTTGAGAAATTTTTATGACATTTTTCATGGAAAATCATATGGTAAACTATCGGTGAATGTTTTTAGATAGTTGATCCGGGACTGGGAAGAATACAAGGAAGCCTAAGGAGATGATAATATTCAATACTCAGTCAACTCTTATTCATGGAAGCTTATCTGTTTTTCTTTTATGATAGAAAAAGAAGAAACGGAATGCTTTCCTTTATCTATATCTTTGCAAGTTCAGTTTGTCGTCCATTTTTTGTTAACTTTATTTATGTTTGTTTGTCAGGTCACTAGACTGTACAAAGACAAAGAGCATGCTGAAGTTGAATACACTGTGAGTTGCACGCCTGGACTTTCACTTCCCCACCTCCCCAAAAATGCATGTTTTTGGAATATTACTTAAAATTTGTCTCTACATAAAGACATTATTCTAGTGAATGTTCTATTGGCTGTAAGTCCTACAAAAAGTTTCTCTAGATCCTTAGCAGTCCTGACAAGATTTTATTTTGAAGATTGGACCAATTCCCACAGATGATGGTGTTGGAAAGGAAGTTGTCACGAGAATGACAGCAAACATGGCCACAGACAAGGTGTTTTACACTGATTCAAATGGAAGAGATTTTATAAAGCGGGTAACTCATGTCGATATCTTCCTCTCTTAATTTCTAAATTGGGTGAATCTTGTAACTCATCTTGCAATGTGAGAGCTAAGAACATTGAGATATCATTGGTTTTGAACAGCATAATAGTCTTTGTAATTCGCTTTTTGGATATCTCACCTTGGTCAAGGCTAGGAGATACCAGGGGAATGTCAAGTATCTTGTAGAAATCATTTCCTATCTTACATCTTGTTTTGCTGCCATGTTCATTTGTTCATCTATGTGCACATCTCACTCAAACTTTGTTTGTTGAATAAATACCATCCAACTAATTCACTGCTAAGGAGAAAAAAGTACTTCTAGATGTTCATTTATTCCTTAGAGTTGCGACTTACAATCTTATCATGCTCTTTGCAGATTCGAGATTACAGGTCAGATTGGCCTCTTGAAGTTAAGCAGCCTGTTGCAGGAAACTACTATCCGGTAAAATTTTATCTAATTTAATTCCATAAAATGTACAACAATACATATATAAGCCTCTACCATATTAACTTATTTCACAAACAAAAAACCCTAAGTCCTCCTTGTACATTCGCTCGATATTTTCCCCTTGTTTCATATATTCATTCGAAATTTTCAATGCATGAAGGTTGGCATTTGCGATCTCTTGAGAGCCAATAACATTGGACCATACAGCCAGAGATTGCTTATCCTATAAAACTTTAGTATAGTTGGGTGTTCCTTTGGCTTATTGAAAAGAAAATTTATCACGTTTTCTTGCTCCTACAACTAACTTTGACTCTCGTTTCTTATGTTAATTTTCTTCTTCTTTTCCAGCTTAACCTTGGAATGTTCATTATGGATAAGAAAACAGAGTTCTCAGTCTTGGTTGATCGTGCGACTGGGGGTTCAAGCATTGTTGATGGTGAAGTAGAGCTCATGCTTCACAGGTTCAACTTTCATGTTATTATATTCTTCAAACATTCAGATAATATTTATTTTTCATTCTCTCTTTTTATTGTCAATATATACACGCTAACATAGTGCTTTTTACAAATATACAAGGCGAATGCTGTTTGATGACTCCAGGGGAGTAGGAGAAGCACTTGATGAAATTGCTTGTTCTGGAAGTACATGTGAAGGACTAACGGTATTTGTTTTATACATTAAGATTAACTCACTCTGGAATTTTTCTACTTGTCTGTGTTTCTTCTCGTTTTTCTTTCCCTCCTAGTTGTTTGATCTATTGTGTTTGCTGCAATTAAGGGGGCTGAATGATTGTTTCCTTGTTCCTCTCGTAAAGTAAAATTAGCCTTCTTACTGCTGCCCCTTCTACGTTTTCCTTTTTTTTTATGTACTCTAGATTGGATGGCTTTTGCTTGATCTCCAAATTATCTGATTAGGGTTCATTTCTTTAACAGTCATGTTAGAATTAGCTAGCACTCATTTGATGCAGGAATCTTTAATCTGTAAGCACTTCATGAATAAAAGTTACCAATGTCTCGATGGAAAATTGCGATTCTCTTTTTGGTTTATTTGATCTTTTTTCTACAGGTTCGCGGAAATTATTACATGAGCATTGACAAGTTAGGGGCTGGAGCACGCTGGCGCCGAACAACTGGTCAAGAAGTTTACTCACCACTCCTTCTAGCATTCACTCATGAGGTATGGTCTGTTCTAGGTAATTATGTATTTTTACTATCAACCTTGACCTAATAAGATAATCATTCAGAGCTTGGAGAATTGGAGATCTTCTTTTCTGACAAAAGCAACAGCAATGGATACAAACTATTCTCTGCCCTTGAACGTTGCTTTGATTACTCTTCAGGTGACAGCAACAATACTAACACAAGATTGCAGAATAAAATTAAGAATTGGCATAATCTCGTGGGCTTTCTCATTCATCCGTTTTTTGTTTTTGTCTGGATGTACTTTGCAGGAGTTAGACGATTGGAGTGTGCTCCTCCGACTAGCACATCTATACGAGGTAAAGCAGAAAAAATTCTTACCTGCTTAAAAAGTAAAAGAAAAAGATACTTTACTACTTAATCTGATGGGACCTTGACCCAACTATGACGTATCCAGAAAAGCAGAGCCATTTGTTTTTGTGGTCTATTTATCTATCTCATTCCTGTTTTCTTGTACACTTGTTTAGGAGGGTGAAGATGTTGAGCAGTCAAAACTTGCTAAGGTTGAGCTGAAAAGGATGTTTGCCGGAAGGACGGTAAGTATTTATACCTTGTAACTAGTGTCCCATTCTTTCTTGCTGAGTTTTTCTTCGAGTAACGCAATACCTGAATTGTTAATTAATAAAGAATAAGTGGAGCACTTTCTTTATCACCTTAGACTTTTGAGAAAATTAGTAGTAGTGAGAAAGTTAAAGATGTAGTGTTGGAATCTTACTGCTATCAAAGTGTTGATGGGTGATCTTGGTGTGTGTTTCAGATAAAAGAAGTGAAAGAAACAAGCTTATCAAGCACTCAAGAGAAATCAGAGATGAAGAAGATGAGATGGAAAGTGGAAGGAGACAGTGGAAAAGAATCTTCCCCAACCAGAGGCGGTCCTCTTGATCCTTCAACTCTTGTTGTGGAACTTGGACCCATGGAGATCCGTAGCTTCTTGTTGAAATTTTAGGCACATAAAATCAGTAATCAAATTTTATGTCAAATATATAAATAAAACACACATAAATATTGAAGCCCGTGATCTCTTGGAAGTCTATGAATTTTTGGTATAAAATTTTTTTATATTTTATTATTTAGATGATATATACATATAATTTTATAATAAAAATATATAATTTAATTTAAATTTATGATTTATTAAATTTATAATTTATGAACAATGACGTTAGGTAACGTCATATAAAATTTAATATACTTTTACCAATCAAAATTTGAACAATTCTGATTCAAATCAAACCAAACTGAATTATGTATTCGTTTCAGTTTTCAGTCAAAAAATTTTTATAAAAATTTTTAGAAAAATTTCAATCTAAATACAGATTAATTTAAATTGCTGAACTTTGATTGGTGAAGACAAAAAAAAAAAAAAAAAAAAAAATTATTTAATTTAAATTTATAATTTAAGAACAATGACTTAGATAACGACATATAAATAATTTAAATTTATAATTTATTAACAATGATGTTAGATAACGATATATAAAGTTTAATATACTTTTAACAAGCAGAATTTGAACAATTCTGATTCAAATCAAACAAATTGAATAATATATTCGTTTCAGTTTTAAGTCAAAAAAAATTTATATTAAAATTTTTAGAAAAATTTCAATCTAAATACAAATTAGTTTAAATTGCTGAACTTTGATTGGTGAAGACAAAAAAAAAATAAATAAAATTATTTAATTTAAATTTATAATTTAAGAACAATAACGTTAGGTAATGACATATAAAATTTAATATACTTTTACAAACCAAAATTTGAACAATTCTAATTCAAATCAAACCAAACTGAATAATATATTCGTTTCAGTTTTTAGTCAAAAAATTTTTAGAAAAATTTTAATCTAAATATAGATTAATTTAAATTGCTGAACATTGATTGGTGAAGACAAACATAAATAAATAAAATTATTTAATTTAAATTTATAATTTATTAACAATGACGATTAGGTAACGATATATAAAGTTTAATATACTTTTACCAACTAAAGTTTGAACAATTCTAATTCAAATCAAATCAAATTGAATAATATATTCGTTTCAGTTTTTAGTCAAAAAATTTTTATATTAAAATTTTTAGAAAAATTTTAATCTAAATACAAATTAATTTAAATTGCTTAACTTTGATCGGTGAAGACAAAAATAAATAAATAAAATTATTTAATTTAAATTTATAATTTAATAACAATGACGTTAACATATAAAGTTTAATATATTTTTACCAACCAAAATTTGAACAATTCTGATTCAAATCAAACCAAACTGAATAATATAATCGTTTCAGTTTTCAGTCAAAAAATTTTTATATTGAAATTTTTAAAAATTTCAATCTAAATACAGATTAATTTAAATTGCTGAACTTTGATTGGTGAAGACAAACATAAATAAATAAAATTATTTAATTTAAATTTATAATTTAAGAACAATGACGTTAGGTAATGACATATAAAGTTTAATATACTTTTACCAACTAAAGTTTGAACAATTCTGATTAAAATCAAATCAAACTGAATAATATATTCGTTTCAGTTTTCAGTCAAAAAAACTTTATATTAAAATTTTTAAAAAAATTTCAATCTAAATACAGATTAATTTAAATTGCTGAATTTTGATTGATGAAGATAAACATAAATAAATAAAATTATTTAATTTAAATTTATAATTTATGAACAATGACGTTAGGTAACGACATATAAAATTTAATATATTTTTACCAATTAAATTTTGAACAATTCTAATTCAAATCAAACAAAACTGAATAATATATTCGTTTCAGTTTTTAGTAAAAAAGTTTTTATATTAAAATTTTTAGAAAAATTTCAATCTAAATGCAGATTAATTTAAATTGTTGAACTTTGATTGGTGAAGATAAATATAAATAAATAAAATTATTTAATTTAAATTTATAATTTATGACAATGACAGTAGTAACGACATATAAATTTTAATATACTTTTACCAACTAAAATTTGAACAATTCTGATTCAATCAACTAATTAATAGTAAATTCGTTTCAGTTTCAGTTAAAAGTTTTATATTAAAAT